TACTCACTGTGATGTTTACGGGCTAAGACCTGAGTATATATAGCAGCATTAGAAAAGTTGTAGATCATCTAAAACTTGACCAAACATAGATCATGACGAGGATAATTACAGGCCTCATGATAAAATAGACAGCTTGGTGAAACAGGCAGAATGATAACAATGGAGTTCAATGCAGAAAAGTGTGAGGTGATGCATTTTGGCAGGACTAATATGGAAAGACGGTATACTATAAATAGCTCAGAGATAGTACAAACTGCCAATGCTGGAGTCAGAGATAACACACTGCGGAGCTGGAGGAACACAGCAGGCCAGGCAGCATCAGAGGAGCAGGATAGCGGATGTTTTGGGAAGGGTCCTGACCCGAAACATCAGCTTTCCTGCTTCTCTGATGTTGCCTGGCCTGCTGGATACAATAAATAGCGCAACTTGGGATAGTAATGTGAATCCATATACACAATCCCACAATCTGTATAAGTGGTAAGTGAATAAGGTGCAAAGACAAAGCATAGGCGTTTCTTAGCTTTATAGAGGGAAAGACTATAAAAACAAATAATATATCAGAATTTTGAAAATTACTATGTAGTCCTTGACTGGAGGACGGTGGATAATTTTGAGCACCACATTTGGGCAAAGTTGTAAAGGCATTAAAAAATGGTGAGGTGGTGCACCAGGAGGTTATCAGGGATACTGATAGGGAAGTTAGAGAGAAGGTAGGAGAGGTAGGATTATCTTCCCTGATACAGGGAAAGTTAAGAGTTGACCTAGTAGAGAATATCAAGATATTGAGAGGTTTTGATAGTGCATACAGAAGAATAAGTGGTAAGTGGATCAATAGTTAGATATCATTGAAAATCCATAGGAAATAATTTAGAGGGGAAATCTTTCACTCAGTGTTTGAAACCTGGAGCAATCTACCTGAATAGATGGTAGAAAAAGATTTCATACATCATTTTAAAAGTGAATTGGATGGCTACTTGAGGAGGAGGAATCTCCAGTGTTATAGAAAGAAAGCAAGGATGCAGAATTAATTATGACAATTCATTCACTTGCACGACTTGGAAGATAGCTGGTAGTTTGGTAAGGAGTTCTTAATCTCTTTCTAAATATAAAACATTTGTTTATATTTCACATTTAATATTTAGCTGTAATTTATTGTTTAATTTCTAAATTTCATCTAGCTTTAAACAGGAATATACAAACTGACTGCTTAAAGAGCTGCTGAAGTTAGTTAATTAAGCAAATCAGCTGAAAATAGTTTTCTGTAACTGGGGCAAATACAGAATGCTGGAGAAACCCAGGTCTGGCTGCATTGTTTTAGACTGAAGTAGTTAGTTACCCCCTAACAGTAAGAGAGTGTAAAGCAAGTAATAATGGGAGCTTGTCAGGGAGGAATGGTGATAATCATGGGGAATTTTAATTTATATATAAATTGGAACATCAGACAGGCAAAGGTAGTCTAGAATGTTTTCAGAGTAGTATTTTTAGAACAGCATGTTCTGGAGCTAGCCAGACAGCAGGCTATACTAGATCTGAAATTGTGCAACGAGTAAGGGCTCGGTGCTCAGTTCACAAGCCACAGAAATGATTTAGTACAGGCTAATCTAATATTTCCAAATTTGCTGATGACACCAAAATGGGTGGGAATCTAAGTTACAAGCGGAATACAAGGAGGTTACAAGCAGATGTGGAAGGTTATTTGCTTGGACATACTAAGTGATTGCCAGATGAAATACAATGTGTGAAGTTATCCACTTTTATGGAAAAAATAGAACGAGGCAGAATATTTCTTAAATGGTGAAAGGTTGGGAAAAATGTCCTAAAGGATCTGGGTGTCCCGGTCTTTTAGTCATTAAAAGCTAGCATGTAGGTTCAGCAAACAACTAAGTTACATGCAAATGTTTTGTTGGCCTTGATTTTAAGGGGACTGGAGTACAGGAGTAAAGATGTCTTGCTGCAATTGTTTAGACACCTCCCTTGGAGTATTGTGTACAGATTTGATCTCATTTAAAGGATATACATGCAATGGAGGATGTGCAACAGAGGTTCACCAGATTAAATCTTAGGATGGTGAGATTGAATAATGAGGAGATATTGAGGAAATTGAATCATTAATTCCTAGACTTTCAAAGAATGTGATGTAGTCTCAGTGAACCTAGGCATGACAGGAATATTTCTCATTGCTGATGAGTCTAGAACTAGGAGACATAACTTCAGGATAAGGGAAAGTCCATTAAATAGGATGAATATCTTCACTCAGTGGATGGTGAATCATTGGGATTCTCTACAACAGGGGCTATGGAAACTCAATTACTGAGTATGTTCAATACAGAAATTGATAGGTTTCTGGGGATTAATATCATTAAGGGATGTGGAGACAATGTGGGAAAACATCATTGAGATGATCAGAATTCAATTGCAGAGCATGCTTGATACGCTGAACGGTCGCTTCCTGATCACTGAGGATTGCTTTGGGGAGGATAGGGTTCAGGGTAAGGACAAAAGGGTCAATTAGTTTCTAAAACAATTAGAACAATTTCCCAGGCAACCCATTCAGACCCTGTGACATGTCTGCCCTGGCACACATAGCCAAATACATGGCCACCTACGATCTACTTCTAGGTTACTGATAACCCTAACTTTCTCTTGTTTCTGCTTCCTTAGAAAATTAGATCCGATAGAGGTTTTAAACAGAGGTGGGTCTGCTGAGTCAGCAATCTTCCCAACTTGAGTTACCCGCCTTAGTAGTGGAAATCTGGTCTTTTGTCCCTTGTGTCAGGAACCTTATATTGGAGTCAAATGGGGGTTACAGCTGTGGGAAAGATGCCCTCCTGGAGGGAATGCAAATACAACAAAAAGTAAAGAAAAACAAAATAGTATGGGGCCTGGAAATCTGAAATAAAAACAGAAAGTGCTGGAGCAACTTATCTGGTTTCGCAGCATCTGTCAAGAGAGAATTAGAGTTGATGTTTCGAGTCTGACACGATTCTTCTTCAGAAGTGAAAACTGTGGACTGGTTCAAAAGTTGTCATTTTGGACTGAAATGCTTTAACTCTGTTTCTCTCTCGACAAATGCTGCCAGATCTGAGCTTGTACAGCACTGACTGTTTGTGTTATAAGTTGGAAATGAATGCATTGGTTGTATTGGAGCTCCATTTTGTGGTATACAAGTTGAGTTGGACGAGTATGCATCATTCGTGTGTTTTACTGGTAGGAGACTCTTCCATTTTCATCACTCTCTTTCTATTTTAAATTTTTAAGTTAAAAAATGAAAACAGCGTCTGGACTGTCATTATGAAGGGCAAGTCTTCCTCTAGTCCTCCAACAGTGTGCAGGCAAGAAAGGCCTCAAAATTTGTCAGTCTCTAGAGGAGAATAGACTTTAATAGCCTCTTAACTAAGCTAGTGTGCAGTATGGTGCCAGATATCTGATGGCACAGGTTTGTGTGCCTGCTCACATCCACATTTGTCTGCATACAGAAGTTAAACTGCCTAGGTCTTCAAGACTAGCACAACTGTAAATACCCCAAGGGACTGATGCAGATTCAGTAAAAAGAAAAAAAAAATCAAATTGTGCTGGAAGACATTTTATATTCAAAATGTGGGTGATGTTTATCTTTGTCAATTCCATTACAGTTTATTGACCAATAATATGATTCCAGCTAAATGCTCCTTTGTGAACAGTGACTAATTTTCTCTAAAATAAAAAGTGGATAGAGACGCGACTTTTATTATGTAAATAAAGATTTGTTTCTTCATCTTCTACAGGAATTATTCAGCAAAGGTTGGACAATAGGATTACATTCATTTATAAATGACATAATTGAGTCAGCTAAGCTACCAAATGCCTGTAAACATTATTATCATAGAATCCCCACAGTGCGGAAACAGGCCATTCAGCCCAACAAGTCCACACCGACCCTCCAAAGAGCATCCCACGCACACCCATCCCCATCCCTCTACCCTATCCCTGCATTTTCCCGTAGCTAATGCACCTAACCTACACATCCCTGAACACAATGGGCAATCTGGCATGGCCAATCCATTTAACTTGGACAGCTTTGGACTGTGGAAGGAAACTGGAGCACACGATGGATACCCATGCAGACACGGGAAGAATGTGCAAACTCCATACAGACAGTCACCTGAGATAAGAACTGAACTGAGGTCTCTAGAGCTGTGAGGCAGCAGTGCTAACCACTGAGCCACCGTGCCACCCATTTAGTTAAGCTTCAACTCAAGTGAAGGGCAAATTTGTGTTCTGTTATGTTTTAAATAAAATATAAACAATTTCCAAACTATGCAAATAAAAATGTTTGTTAGGTTCATTAATTTTGGCATCAGCTAGATCTTTGAATTGTATTGTTAAGCTTGTGCCTTAGAGTGAGAACGCACACAATAAAAGGGGGGAGCCATTTGGCTCATTTAATCTGAGTTGGTTCTTTTAAACAGCAGTCAGTTAGCACTGCTTCCTGCTCCTTCCCAGTATCACTGCAATTATTTTTGCCAAGTATTTATCTAACTTCCTTTTGAAGGTTACTGAATCTGCATCAATACACCATCAGGCAGTACGTTCCAAAATTTAACTATTTATTAGAATAAATCATTTTCTCCTCGTGTCATCTTTTGTTCACAAATCGCACCACAAACAATTTTTTAAAAAATTATGAAGCAGTTTTCATATAATACAAACAGTGTCCTCAAATAAAATTAATTGGGTGAGAAGCATTGAGACAGTTTGATGTAAAAAGCAGCTCAAATTGTTTGGTTCGCTTATTAATCAACTGAAGGCAAGTTTATATGTAGTGTACAAGCAGTGGTCATGCTACTTTTAGCAGAAGATGAAAAAAAAAGCTGCTTTTAATTCTATTCTGCACAATAAGTTAACTTTAAGTATAAAATAGTCAGTACGACATGATCAAGATTATGGTCAAATATAAAACCAGCCTTCTTCAAGGCTAATGATACTAGGACACATTTATTTTAGATCAGCTCATACAATACCTGTGGAATGATGGACATGCTATTTCGCAGGTCATGTAAACCTAGTTCCGAGGTCACAAGGCCATCAATGATGATTTTCCCTTCTGGTTCAGCAAGGCGAAACAAAGCTGAGATTAGCGAACTCTTTCCAGCACCTGTCCTTCCAACAAGCCCAATCTGCAACAGCAAGTATCATGAATGAGGTTACAGTTTATTATATATTGTACCATTGTAAGCTGGGCTGGATTTTCATTCTGGGGAAAACAGGCTTAGAAGTTATAATTAGAAATCAGAAACATTAAAAAGCAGTAGGTTGAATTTTAATTCAAGGACTTCGATTCTGCTATTGGATTGAACTCTGGATCAGGAACCCACTGGATAATATTTTCAAGGAGGCAGCCTTCTGGGATGGTTATCCAATTAAGATCCACAGTGAGGAAAGCCAGCAGAAACATCCAAAGCTCTGGGTGTCCAGCAAACAGACTGGGCAAGGTAAATATGATGGAGGCATCCTCTGAAGGCTCTAGTCCTTGCAGCTTAATAGGATTCTTTCTAGGCTGTTTTGCACCTCTGCTATCAATCACCCCTATAACTGGCTTGCTGCTGTGAGGCCACTGTCATGCTGTATTCTGTCTGCAGGCACATTGAAAGCAGGAATATACCAGTATGCTGGCTGGAAGCACAAAATCGCTAGAACCTTCAAATGCATCCTTCACAACAATGCAAATCCAGCCCGGCTTGTCAACGACATGCTTCAATTAAAAAAAAATGCTTATCAGTTTGTTCAGAGTAATATTGAACATTTAAAAAACAAAATCAGCATTATGGATTGGGAGCCAATATAAAAATTGCACGCTAATTGGGATTCATTGGAAAGCAGGAATGTGTAGAAATAAGATAAAACTTAGTAAAGCTTGACCAAAATGTTTCCTACATTTAAACTAATTCCCTATTTTGCCTGAAAAATATTGATCGACTGGTCAGAGGGCATGTATGGAATTGTATTGTGAGTCAACACCTTCCCAAAGAGGAATGGAAAATAGTTATGAAAACATTTGTTTTTTATGCTGCAAATTTACTTTATGTTATTAGAATCATAGAATGCCTATAGTGTGGAAGCAGGCCATTTGGCCCATCAAGTCACACTGTCCTTCCAAAGTGCATTCTACCTAAACCCACCTCCCTACCCTATCCCTGTAAACCTACATTTCCTATGGCTAATCCACCCAGCCTTCACATCCCAGGACACTATGGACAACTTAGCATACCCAATCCACCACCCTGCACACCTTTGGACAGTGGGAGGAAACCGGAGCACCCACAGGAAACCAGTGTAGACACTGCAAGAATGTGCAAGCACCACACAGACAGTCGCCTGAGTGTGGAATTGAACCTGGATTCCTGGCACTGACAGGCAGCAGTACTAACCACTATGCCACCATGCCACCTCTTATGAACTCACTACTGTATACAAAACTATAACATATGGAGCACGGAGTTAGCCTTCTGCCAGTACTGGTGACTCCATCCCAGCCCAGATGAATCATCTGATTCAGTCTCACTGTGAAGGTGTTGTTAGTGTCTGGTTATCAAGAGCTACAGGTTTTGCATCCTCCAGTATATAATATTTTACTTGTCCTTTGAGTTCTGATATTTCTTTTTCATCAGTTCTATCACCGGGTACTTTTCTTTCTTGAAAGGCCAGAAGAATACTTTCTCCTGGTTCCAACACAAATCCAACTCCCTCCTGTGGTAAAAGTTTCTCTCCAAAATACAGCTGGTTTATGTATTGTAATGTCTGAGTTCATTGTTTCCAAACTAGATAACTGTAGATGAAATCTTTCATCTCCAATATGTGAAACTTATGATGGAGGTGCAAATCAAAAATAGGAGATGGGATTTTTTTCATGGCTGACTGGGTGGACTGGTTGCAATGTCCTTTGATAAAAATGTAAATTTCAGTTCAGAAGATTTTCTTTATTCCACAATTGCTCATTGAAGCTTGGCTAACCAAATGATCAGCTAACTGATTTTAAAATATGTTTTTCCTTTTAAAAACCATTTTATTCCAGGAAAATCTCAAGAATTGCTATCAAATAATAGAATTCACAAATCGATTGTCCTTTTTTAAAAAATCACTTGTGGCAATATAAAGTTTTGTTGAAGATGATGAAGATGAAGGGGCGGCACGGTGGCTCATTGGTTACTACTACTGCCTCACAGCGCCAGGGACCCGGGTTCGATTCTACCCTCGGGCAACTGTCTGTGTGGAGTTTGCACATTCTCCCCATGTCTGCGTGGGTTTCCTCCGGGTGCTCCGGTTTCCTCCCACAGTCCAAAGCTGTGCAGGCTGGGTGGACTGGCCATGCTAAATTGCCCGTAGTGTTCAGGGATGTGTAGGTTAGGTGGGTTATAGGGGGATGGGTCTGGGTGGGATGCTCCAGGGTTGGTGTGGACTTGTTGAGCCGAAGGGCCTGTTTCCACACTGTAGGGATTCTATGATTCTATGATCTGCAGGTGTTGGAAATCAGAAACAAAGCCAGAAATTGGTGCAAATTTGTGCTGCTGTCAGAAAAACTCCCAAAATGATATCAGAGGATCCTGTAAGAAGTTGCCACTAGAAATGGCAAAAACTAGTTTCACTTTAATTTCCCTCCCTTCATTCAAAGCTCATCAGATTTACTGCCATCATTTATTGGAATTTCTAGGCTATTACTTTGAACTATGCAGCTTTTTAATGAAATTTTGCCCAACTTCATAGGGAGGTAGTATTAAAGTAGCAAAGTCTTCTCGCAATTGTACTGGGCATTGGTAAGATAATTAGAGTAGTGTGTACAGATGTGGTTTAGTCGGTAAGTGTAGAATTAGGAGACACGGTTTCAAAATAACCAGAGATGAGGAGAGTTTGAGAGGGTTGTTAATCCTTGCAATTTGATAAGTGGGATCATGGAGGCCGAATCATTAAATATATTCAATTGTCACAGTCTGCAATGTTACAGAAGGTGGGTAAGACTTAGGGCACTGCTAATACCGTTGCCCTAATTGAGTCGTCAATTATTGGACACTTAGCATTTATTTGGTTATTTAAGGGTCACTTCCCACCTGGTCTAAATTTTGAACCTGGCAGAAGGAATTCATAGGCAAGGGGCAAGATCCATAGGTCCACTCCCTATATATCCTTAATCCCCTCTAACCTGATGCTTCCTGCAAACGAGAATTACTCTCCCTGGCCCACGGCACTTGTATGACTTGTATTTCTATTTAGGTCACTGTCGCTGCTGGGACTACAGAACTGCAAGCCAATCAGAGTGCCCACCATCTCTCCGAGCCGAGATTTCTGCTGGACTCTCCAGTTCACCCCATGCAGATGACACTGGGTTGCTTTGATTGTTGGGGATGCACTCCCCAGAACACTTGAATTGAATCATTTATTGAATCATTTATTGTCATGTGTATTCAGTATGAAATACAGTGAAAAGTGTGTACTGTCGCCATGCATAAGGCGCCATTCTCATTAAATTAAAACGAAATAAAAAATAAAGAAAAATAACCTAAAGAGAGTCCAACTCTGGGCTTCACCAGCGCACGCCATGCCGTCAGTACAGTCCCGCTCAGGGCTTCAGAACACACCATGCCATTGCCAGAGGGCCTGCTCCGGGGTCCACTCCACATGAAAACAAGAGTCCCACACCAGGCTTTACAGGATGGCTGACTCTCTAGCCATGCTGCTTTTGAAAACGATGCCGCTGCTCCAGAACTTGCTGAGGCCAATTTCCTATCGAAGGGCTCTCTTTATAAGGTAAGTTTGAGTGAAAACTAAATAAATCTGAGCAAAGAAGAAGAAGAAAAAGAAAAAGCAGACAAAGAGGACAAGCCCGTGCAAAGGAGACCAGGTGCTGCCTACTCTGCTGCCACCATCTTTCAGTGAACATTATTGAAAACCCTGGCATTGGGAAAAATCCTGCTCCTGTGGTTTCAATGTGTAGCCATTTGAAAGTACAACAGCAGATAGATAACGCCATTTAAGACAATTGATAACATTTTGAATTATACAATGGAGTTTGCCATCTCATTGCAGGAGATGGGTGCAGCCATTAAAAGTGGACACTGATCCATCTGACCATGCAAAGATGCATTCATAACACAGTTGCAACAACAAGCCACGGGAATAAATCACAGGAAAATATCAACAAGAAATGCATCAAGTACAGTAAAATGTACCATCCAATTAATTTCGTACAATTAACAACAGAAAGACAAAAATGAAATCAGTGTTGGACAGATGACTTTAAAGTACAAAAGGTTTATTAAAACAGTGAAAATGTTCCATACACAACTGCAAACAGTGTCACCATTTTGAAGCCTACTCTCAGGGCTCCTCCCAAACGTACTTGTGTTTCTTTGACTCCACAAAACATGGTAGTACGCTGCTGCATGAGAGTTTAAAAGTAACACTTCAATTCTTTTGCAAATGTGCAGCGTTCCACCTAGCAGTGACAGTGGCCACAAATGTAGCCATCTTATAAACAGGACATACAAGATATAAGAGCACAACATTCAAGTTAGTGTACTGTGCATAGTTTAAAGAAGTGCATTATAGAGAAGCTGTGAGAGTTTTATTCAGAGGCTTTGGAACATGGATTGGTTTGCAACAAGGGAGTCACTAAAACAGGAGCAAACATACTTTTGAAAAGGAAATGACTGCTGAAAAATAGTTTAACATACAGGTCTATGGGAAGAAAGCATGTGATGGGAATTAATTTTACATTTTTCTAATAAGGAGCCAGCAGACAATAGGTTGAACGGCTTCCTCATTTATTGTGGTCTTATTTATTTGAATATATATTATTCAGTGCCTAAGCTGTGAATAGAATAGAATAGAATCCCTACAGTGTGGAAACAGACTATTTGGCCCAACAAGTCTACACTGTCCCTCCGAAGAGCATCCCACCCAGACCCATTCCCCTACCCCTACCCTGAATTTTCCCATGTCTAACCTATCTAACCTAAATTCATCATTGCCCTCTACACAATATTTGGTATTGATAAATCCTCTGCATTTCTACATTGATATAAAGGAAAGCTAAGTCATTTAATTTTATGATTTTCACTGCACATGTACAACACATGTACTCAAGTGAAGATTAGTCTCAGATGATTTTGTTTTAATTTTGAAACTGGAATGAAATTTTCACGGCCATTAACTTGTTAGCAACAGAATTAGGGAACATTCATAAGGACTCATAAGAGAATACTGCTTGGAAACTTTATAGTAGTTTGATTTTTCTCTTTCTTAGTTTGTTCAGATAATTATTTTGGATAATTGTACAGCACAACACTAACAATAAGAATTAGCCAATAACTAGCTAAAATCTGATTTCTCCAATAAAGTCAAAGTGATTAATTGCTGAACAGTAGCTAGCTTGCTTACCTTTTCTTTGGATCTGATTGCTAGATTTAGGTCCTTTAGAATAGGCTCACAATCTGGACTGTAGCCAAAGTTAACTTTTTCAAAGACAATGACTCCATGGTGCGGCCAGCCATTGGGTGGGGGCTTGTATGATTCCCATGGTGCTTCACTTTCAAGCTCAGTGTAGTCCAGCACTCGCTCCACTGAAGTCATCTACAAGAAGACACATATTAGAAGGATGAGGAGGAATTTGGCAAGCACAATAAGTCAAGCTACTTCATTTTACACAAGATTTAAACCAAAACCACTTTATTTGGAACAAAATATCGAATTGCCAGCTGTGAGGATCTAACATAAAATGAGCGCTCAACACATTATTCATAAAATGTTTACCAATGATTCAACACATAAACACAAACTATTAATTAAAAGCCTTACATTTGTGTGCATTTCAGAGTCAGCCATGTGTCAGTGATATTACTCTAACCTTTGAGTTGGATGATCGTGGATTTTAGCCCCACTACAGACTTAATACAAAATTTAAGTTGACACTGCAAGTGCAGAACTGATGTGGCGCTGCACTCTGAGGTGCCACCTTTTGTTTGCTCTTTCAGTTGCTTGAAAATATCCTGGGGATTTTTTCAAAGAAGATTAGCAGAACTCTCTAAGGTAGTCTGGAAAACATTTATCCTCAATCAACGTAACTAAACAGATTACAAGGTCATTACCTCATTGCTGTTTGTGGGACCTTGCCATGCAGGAATCTGCTGCAGTCTTAGAATCATAGACTCATACAGCATGGAAAAAGATGCTTCGGTCCAAATCATCTGCGCCAACCAAACATCCCAATCTAACATGGTCCCATTTGCCAGCATTTGGCCCATATCCCTCTAAACCCTTCCTATTCATATACCCACCCGGATGCCTTTTAAATGTTGTAATTGTACCTCCACCACTTCCTCTAGCAGCTTGTTCCATATATGTACCACCATCTGCATGAAAAAGTTACCCCACAGGTCCTTTTTAACTCCTTCCCCTCTCACTTTAAACTTATGTCCTTTAGTTTTGGTCTCCTAATCCTAAGAAAAAGACATTTCATAAGTATATTTAAAAGATGGGAGCCAAATCTATACACAGTAATCGAAGTGTAGCCCCACCAACGGCCTGTAAGGAAAATCAAATGTATAAATATACAGCAAGGTCACTGAGACAGACTATTTAACCAACCATTTTTTTGTGCAATAAAAGATCAACAGAAAGATCAGAGGCTGTTTTACTTGTGATAGTTTGTACTATAGCCCATAGTAGCCAGTCTTTGATAGATCCATCATTTCAGCTGATACAGCAATAAAACTCTGGTCAAACTTTAAGACCTCTTTCTAAATGCTCTTGTGTAGATATTCAAAGACTAGAAGTTTGTAAACAATGATCCTGAAGAAGGATATACTGGATCAGTTGGAGCGAACACAAGGTCAATGAAGAATTTCTCAGGATGGAGGGGGATAAACAAAGATTGAGAGTGAACATCAAGAAAAGGCAACAAGGTTGGTTTGGAGATATTCTACAGCATGAGTATTTGCTGAAGAAAGTAACTGAAAGATTTTTAGAGGAATGAAGACCAAAAAGAGGTACTTACTGAAGAAACATGGGTCTTGCCTTCTGGCTGAAGACACTTCAAACAGATCTACCTTGGCAGAACAAATCAAGGAGATCATAGGACCACAAGACATACAAGTAAAGTTAGGCCTTTCAGCACATACGACTGCTCGGAGTCTGATGCGATCATGGTTAAGAGGAGGTGGTGGCTGCTGCCAGTATAACACCAAAGCCTAGGATTGCTGATGGGCTCAGCCACAGATGAGTGATGGCAGGGGGAGTGATTCCACCCAAAACACCAACAGGATTTACTTTCCAGACTTCCTGCACGGCAGACCCCACCTCACCATTGAGTGAATACTCAAGGTGGCAGGAGAAGGCCCGTAAGTAGATTTAACCAGTGCTAAGTGGGAAGGCAGAATGCTATCTAACCACCAAACTTGCTGCGTAGAAGGTCATCAAATTCCACCCCAAGACAAAGAAAGGGAATCTTCTAACGTCACAATGCTTCAAAAGCACTTAATAAATTCTGAGGCACTTTGGGTCTCCCCAAGGCGATGAAACATGCTAAATAAACACAAGTTATTTCTCCTTGCTTTTGTCACACCAAGTCACAGTCAGAAATGAGTAACAAGCCAGGTGATGTACCTGGTTAATAGTGGGACCAAGAAGCACAATTTCACTTCTGTTATCTCAAATCGACAATTCACTCACACAGGAAAGTGACAAGAGTATCACAACAGCTATGATTTGGGTTTCCATATCTGTAAGGAATACACACTGGAGTTCATGATATGAAAACAAGGAAAACATGAAAGCAGTCTTAGAAATAGCAAGTTTGAGTACATCAGACAAGGGTAGGCATGACAAAAATACAAGTCCGGAAAGTGTGACAGGGAAATATAAAGTACATAAATAACTTTTTAAATCCTGATCATGGGTTGTGGTGTTGCTGGCTGGGCCAATATTTGTTGCCCACTCCCTAATTGCCATGGAGGTGGTGGTAGTGAGCTGCCATCTTGAAGCACTACAGTTCTTGGAGTATTGAAACATCCACGGTGCAGTAAAGAACGGAGTTCCAAGATTTTGACCCAGCGACACCAAAAAAATTGGTCTTATAATGTGCAAGTCAGGATATTGCATGACTTCGAGGACAGCTAGCGAATGATGGTTACAGGTTCAAATGGTGCTGTTGAAGGAACCTAGGTGAGTTACAGTAACGCATTTGTTGATGGCACACATTGCTGCCATTGGGTGCACTGTCGGAGGATGTGAATGTTGAAGGTCATGAGTAGGGTGTCAATCAATGGGCTCTTCACGTATGGTGCTAAGTTCAGTGTTTTTTAAACTAGACTCATCCAGGCAAGTGGGGAGTATTCTATCACACAATTCACTTGTGTTTTGCAGATGGTGGACAAGCTTTAGGGAGGTAGGAGGTGAATTACTTGCCATAGAATTGCAATCCACTGATCTGCTCTTGCAGCCACAGTATTTACATGCTGATCTAGTTCAGCATCTGGTCAATGATGTTGATACGGAGTATTCAAAGATGATAATGCCAGTGAATTTCAGACGACAATGGTTAGATTCTCTCTTGTTGGAGATGGTCATTGCCTTGCATTTGTATGGTGTGAATGTCTCATTCAATGAATAGTTAATTAGCTGCTGTGTTGCTAGCATTATGCTGACTAATGCTATTTTATAAAGAAGAGGAGAATTATACCATGTATTGCACAATTTATTACTCTGCTAAGGCATAGCAGTAAAATATTAGGCCACAAATCTAACTGCTGGATGAGGTCAGAGCATAATTGTTCTTCTGGCTGCAGATCAAAATCTCACTTTTTGCCCTCCACTTTTGAAATGGTGTGATTGGTAAGGCCGATCAATAGTTGCAGATGTTTTGACCCAATGTGTCAAACTCAAATTCATCAAACAAATATTTGTCCTCAACAAATCTGTGTTAGCTCACTTAAATAAATGGCTGTCCATGTTCTCTTGGATCATTGTCTACCAAGGCTTCACCACCACCACACTAAATTACTGGTCTGTAATTGTAACATTTAGTTTTCTGACCTTTTTAGAACAAGGGTGCAACAATTACAATTCTCTGATACTACTTGATTGGAAGGTGGTCGCCAGCTACTTCACAATTCTAACTCTTACTTTCTTCAGAAACCTAGGATGAATCCATTTGGATTGAGCCATTTATCTAATTTAAGTATTGCCAATCTTTCTACAAAGATTGTAACATATAGAAGTAGGCCACTCAGCCCAACAAGTCTGCTCTGCCAGTCAATGAGATCATGTCTAATTTGATAATCCTCAACTTAATTTTCTGCTTTATCCTCATAACCTTTGACCCCGTTATTGATTAAAATCTGTCTATCTCAGCAATGAATATACTTAATGACCCACCATTTACTCTTCATCCATTTGTACTTCATCCCTGATAGCCTCCTTGTTTGCAGTAGCTTTGGCAAACTCCTTTCCCTTCATAAACACTAATGCAAACAACTCATTCTGTATCTTATCCATACCTTCTGATTCCACCAATAGATCTTCAGCTTGCTCCCTAATTAGCCTTACTACTCACAGAACCCTTTAATGTTAAAATGTCTTCAGAAGTTTGTCAGTGTGGAGTTTGCACTTTCTCCATGTGTCTGCGTGGGTTTCCACCAGGTGCTCCGGTTTCCTCCAATAGTCCAAAGATGCACATGTTCCAGGGATTGGCCATGCTAAATTACCCATAGTGTTCGGGATGTGTTGGTCAGGTGCAATAGCCATGGGAAACGCAGGGTTACAGGGATAGGGTAAGGGGATGAGTCTGGATGGGATGCTGTTTGGAGGGTTTGGAACAGTTGTTTCCACACTGTAAAGATTCAATGGGATTCTATGGAAGACCTTTAGATTCCTGTTTATGTTAACTATCAAAAACAATTCTCATCTTTTCTCCCTGCTTCCTTCCTTTCTCACTTATCCACTGTACATATTATGTACTGCCCATTTCTTCCTTATATAGTTAAACTGGCATCGATCATATACCCATTTCCATGTTTTATCCTACTCTCAAACTTAGTTCACTTGTGAAGATAGATTGGAGAAGTTAGGACTGTTTTCATGCAGAGAAGAAGGTCATAAGGCGATTTAACAGAAGTTCAAAATCATGAAGTGTCTGGGCAAAGTAAATATGAAGAAATTGTTTCCATTGGAGAAAGAATCAAGAAAAAGAAGCTTAAAGGTATAAGCAGAATTAAAATGGCAAAAGAAGCTAAAGCAATATGAGAACAAATTTTTTCATGTGGTACTCATGTAGCTAAGAGTGCTTAGGGCCGGAAATACATTGTGTGAAAGATAAAGGCAGGTTTAATTGAAGGTTTGAAAAGGGAGTTAGATGGTTACTTGAAATGGAACACCATACAAGGTTATGGGGGCAAAGGCAGCACAACGGTTGATGCAAACAAGATGTGCCAAATACCTCCTCCTGCACTGTAACAAATTTAAGATTCTGTGAATTCTGATCTCTTGTCATGTTAAAAACTCTGGCTTTGTTTGCCTTCTCTTTTTCGCCTTTTAGGAATGCACCTCAACAACATCTGAACCACCTCCTCTCTAAA